CCTTTTTTTTTTTTTCCTTCTTCCCTTGCGCGCTGCTGCTGGTGGTGGTGCATGGATGGCCCATCTCTCTTCTCCCTCTTTTCCCTTTGCCTTCGTGATAGTCAGTTTCCACCGGGCTTCTCTCTCTTTTTTTTTCCTCCCTTCCTTTCTCGACCCCCCCCCCCTTTTCCCCTCTCTCTCCCTTTTGGTACCTTTTCCAAAAGGAATGAGATCTGCTCTGGCATTCGTCCATTTATTTCTCTCTCGGAGCTTGCTTGCCTTTTTTTTTTTTTTTTTTGTTTAATGCCCTTTTTTTTTTTTTCCTTCTTCCCTTGCGCGCTGCTGCTGGTGGTGGTGCATGGATGGCCCATCTCTCTTCTCCCTCTTTTCCCTTTGCCTTCGTGATAGTCAGTTTCCACCGGGCTTCTCTCTCTTTTTTTTTCCTCCCTTCCTTTCTCGACCCCCCCCCCCTTTTCCCCTCTCTCTCCCTTTTGGTACCTTTTCCAAAAGGAATGAGATCTGCTCTGGCATTCGTCCATTTATTTCTCTCTCGGAGCTTGCTTGCCTTTTTTTTTTTTTTTTTTTGTTAAATGCCATTATGATTGCTGATGCTGTTACAGTTGGGAGTGAGAGAGAGAGAGAGAGTCATTGCTGCTGAAGCTCAGCGGTGTACTAGTAAAATTGAGATTCCATGCAATTCTGTGGTCTTTTAATAAGATATCACTGGATTTGTTAGTGCTTCCCTATCCCCCCCCCTCCCCCCCCCTTCTTTCCAGAATTTGTGATGGGTAAAAAATATCTCTGGGTGAGCTGACTGCTCTGTACTGTACTTTAAAAAAAACCCACTAGCACAGGTTGTGTCTTTGCTATGTGTGTGTTTGATGATCCTGTATCACAAATAAAATCCATTTGCAATCCTTCAACCATTATTTCAATGTTTGGTATTCAGGATACATGAGGAAGAAGATAGTTAGCTCTCCTAACTTTGGGCAAGTTAGGATCTAAAGGCCCTTGTTTTTCCAAAACTAAATTGTGCTTCCGTGTGCCCCATTATTTTTAGGAGACTACTGCTGGTTGAAGATTTAAGTTGGACAAGCCTGAACCTTAAAATAAAGTGTCATTATTGATCTTAATGGGGTGAATTGATTCCTGTAGGATTTATCTTTAGGGAAGCAAAATTATGTTTCCCTCACATAATCATTTAAATATTGTGGCATGTAAGTACATTTGCTTCTGTTTCTGTCACATCTTGAAATACATGATCTTCAAATGCTTTCCTTGCTTAATATACATTGTATTTTCTCCATTGCCCCCAACCAAATGATTTTTAAAAAAATGATAATTGCCATCTTTGCCTCAGTATTACTAATTCTAGTGTGACCTGTTTCTTATCTCCTGTCTGAGTTTCTTATGTTAAATATAAATGCCACCATAAATAATGCTAGCAGCTGTAATGATATAATTCAGAATAGTTATGAATTGTAGGAGCAGAGAATGGAAAAGCTCCTTGATGCCAATAACTTTGAGGAGAAATTCATGGTGAACCTATTAGTGCTTCTCAGAAATAAATGCCATTGTGTTCGGTCAGGCAATGCAAAGCTGCAATCCATTTTTGCCTGATATAAACCATAAAAAATACAGCGGGACTTACTTTTGACTAAACATTAATAAAATTATGCAATGTAGATAATTCACAATAATGCTAGGGAAATAAATTTCAATACATTTCTGCCAACAGTAAGTGATAGAATTTACTTAATTCTCTAATCTGGATAGGTACTAGCATATATAAATACTGCTTTTGTGACAAAAATGTTACAAAAAGTAGTGTGTCAATCAATATGGTTTTTGACTATTATAAAATAAATGTTTAGCAAGTAACTTGGCTGTTGAGTTCAAAAAAATGCTGTATTGGTTTGTCAAGCTGTAGTAGCACAGAATGATTTTGTTTGTTTGGAAATATTGTGGCTGTTGATGGTAAGTTGGATTCCTGGAATTCTCAGCTGCTCCTGAGTTGAATCTGATGTTATTCATTAATGTTGGGATTGGCTGATGTGGTGTTGTATATAGATCCTTCATAATTCTCTGTTAGTATCCAATTTGTACAATAATATATCATGAAACTCTTTGAAAAGCATAAATAATTATGGTTTCAGACTAAATTGTTGTGCTTCTTGTTTAGTCTAATGCTATGTGCTTTAATTTGTGAAGATTTAGTTTGATTTTTGTAGAACTCAGTTCTTGATCACGTTTTGGCCTGGATCATTGAAAACCTGGAAGTCTTTGTGACCAAAAGCTCATCCAAAAGAAATTGGAGGAGCTTTTGGTCACAAGAATCAACCCTGAGTGATGTGTGTGCGTGCATATCCCAATATTAAATTTCTTGTGAATTATGAATTTCTAAGATCATAATACCCTATATAACTATAGTAGTGGTATTGGGTAGTGGAAACAAGTAATGTAATTATCTGCTCAGAGGCAACAAAAAAAAAGCATAAGTGAATTCTGTTATGCAAAAGTGAATGTAAACCAGGAAAGCTCAGAGCAAGTTAATTGATGTGAGGCAATGGAAATCATTGGCAAAGGACCATGGGATAATATGTTACACAGTCCATGAACTCTAGCAGGTAGAATAGGCAGCTGAAATTTTGTTAGGAGAGAAAAGCAGCCTTGGAAGTTACTTCTGAAAATGAGGGGCTGGATACTTCAACTTGAAAACCCAAGTAGATAATTTATTTAGCTTACTGTGCTGTTCAGGTATGCTTTGCTTATTTTTTGTAGTTCTAGAACCTTTCATATTTGGGCAAAAGTTCAGGGTACTTTCTGCACTGAAAGAAATGAAATTGCCCCAGGGAGCATGTAAAGGTTACCACATTAGAGGCATTTCCTGTTGTTGCAAACTGATACTATGACATTTGCTGATATGTTGATAAACATAATAAAGATAAGTTACAGTTATGTCTGTGACAGAGCTGAATGATTTCATAAACCCTGTATATAATGAAAGGTAACATACTTGAGATTCTTTAGCCCAATATAAATGATTATGAATAACCAGCTATTGTTTCATTGCCCAAAAAAGTAATTTGGATTTTTCAGTGGGTATGAATAAGAGGCTAATACTTTTACATGTTATTAACAAGAAATATCTCTAGTGTATAGGAGACATCATTTCTGACAATCACGGAGCTGAAGCAACAACAGAAAACTTAATTACTATGTTAGAAAGGGTTAATTCACATGTCAGTTTAAAGTTAATCCTTGAATCCACAGTGTACCATAAACCAAGAATTAAAAAGGTCCTGTAAGAACATCTAATTTGGTAATTTAACAAGCAAGTCAAGATATATACTGCAAATTCATAATGATTACATTTTCCTTTAAAGTGAAATATTTTGTGCCATGGTTCACATTCAAGAGTTTAATTCACTGGATGTAATCCCCCCCCCCCCCAAGTGTTACCACTTTTGCACCGATTCTCTAGAAACTAGTTCATGGAGGAGGCCAAACCATAATTTCCCATAAGCAGCCAGGGTAAATTGCTGTAGACAATAAAATACAAGTGTCCTGCAATGACATTTGTAGAGTATGGCTGAATTGCAGCCACCTGTATGTCTAACCTAGAGTATCACTGTGTTGTGTACAAATAGCTTGGATGAGGTCTTAAATTTGAATGGAACATGGAGTCATATTAGCCAACTCTTTTCATTTCTAAAGAAAGACTAAAATGCCATAGGATATGTAACATACAAACTAATATTAAGCTATACTTTTATGTTCTTGGGAAATTATTATTTTCTATTAAATGTAAGCATGGGCAAGGATATTATAATCTGAAGTCAGAACTGTTATAATTGAATCCATGACTTTCAAAAAGTAGTTTCGGTTTCAGTGGTAGGCTGCTTTAATTTTCCTGGATACTGTGAAAACACAAAATTCTTAGCTGCTTGATTATTCTAATACTGTATAGTTTTAAAACTTGGCTCAACATTGTATGTTAATTTAATAAGGAATTATAGACATTTCAGAATTG